TGGTGGCGGCCGAGCCCTTTTCTTTCTCCTTCTCCTTCTCCTTATCGCTAGAAGCACTGCCGGTGCTACCTCCAGTGTTCATGCGGAAGAAATTGCGCAGGCGATGGCTCACCTGGCCGGGGCCATTGGAGGTCTTTTGAGACGGCATAGCGACAGTAACGTTATCGGAAATGTTTGGATGGGTGGAGACGGAAACAGCTTTGGCGGTAGTTCGACTAGAGATTTGCTTCCATATTCGACAAAATAAATAATTGGGAGGCGAGAGGACGTTTGCGGGTTGATGTTGATCGAGTCGGGTAAAAGATCCACGAGGGGATTGTTGTTGCGCGTCGTTGAAGTCGCGGCCCTGTATCGGTCCGTAGCGAGATAGGTATAAGTGTCGGGACGGATGAGTAGACGAAGCTAAGGTACCCTGTTGAGAGAAAGAAGTCACAGGGGAGCTTAGAGCAACACCACTGTTGTAAAAGAAGAAAAGGGAGGAAGAAGACACAAGAGCCTCAAGAGGAATGACGCTGCTGGCCTTGAGACCGAGACTGAGACTGGGACTGGGACTGGGACAGGCAGGCTATAGATGGGTCTTGCTTAGGATTGGCCTTGATCTGGGAATTGGATTGGAAATGGGCCCTGACCATGGATGGGAATGGATGGATTCGATGGGAATGGGGGCGGCGTCGGAGACTTCTGCCTGAGGCATGATTAATAATTACAATCCATGGATGCACCTCAGTCCAATGCAATGCAGGTCGGCATCGGCCCCTCTATCACCATTGCCCGCCCACTAACTCAGCTCTAAAAGTCTAGCGATCTTAGGCGTAGCCTCACCCATGGTCCAATGGATGGATGGGTGTGACTTTGTTTCCTCTTCTCTGTTAATAGAGTTACATATGAACTTAACCTGGATAGGGGAATACTGTATGCGGGCTGTCACTTTGCATGTTACTGCATTCAACATAATTATACTACTGTACACTCGCATCTCACGCAAACTCGAGGTGAATTCCCTCGTCTCCCTTGTAGGCGGGGATCTGGAACGCCTCGCCTCTTCTAAACTCGCCCGCCTCGCACCTCTCTGTGGCTTGGATGGCCTAGCTTGGGTGCTTCCTAGGGTCTGGGTAACGTTAGTTTAAGGTGAGCTTAGGTTGGCTTGGCTTCTCATTATCTGACAAAGCCAACTGCGCCCTCCCTCGGCCGCTCGGTATCGTTCCACTGCCCGCAAACTCCGGTGAGATAATGCCGTGAGATATAGACTAAAGCGTAATTGCGAATTTAGCCAAAGCATTCATCCTCCCGAAGTCCCCGGTAAAGGAGTGACGTTCTACAGTGGGTTGTTGCTGGGCCCGTCTTTCGGGCATCCTAGGCATCCTAGGGCGCGAGCCACTAGACCGGTACCTACGTTTCGAGTCTGTCTATGCGCTAGAATCATGAGGCGTCGATAGCGTCTTGCCAGATCGGAAAAGAGACCCTGTGGGTTCTCGATATTGGTTCCCGCGGCCTGGGGTTGCTTGCTTGGACTCTGCAGATTGTACCTTGCCTTTCTAGAAAATGATTGAGTCGGAAGCTCATGACATGAATGAGGCGATCAGCATTGCAGTACTTCCTATCCTAGTAGTCCACGTTTGTGCAATGGTGATGTGGGGAGATGTCAGAACAGGGCCATTTTGTTTGTGGAACGATGCTTGACAACATCCGAGTTACGGACTCGAAAAGACCCCAACTTTGTCCTGGGAGTGGCTTCGGGATCTAATACTGAACCCGGCCCCTATGAAGAACCAACTCTAAACTCAACACTTGATGATTGATCAATTATATTGGTCCGCAGAGCCTTTCAATGTCGCTGTAGCTTCCATAATCAGAAATATTCATGTCTGAGTGGACTACCCTAGAAATAGTGGCATGATGAAGCTTGAACCACCGTCAAGGGGTTATCAACGCTAGTCAGCCGTGCTTGACCTGAGATGTGAAAAGACAGGACTATCTTGGATGTTCATGCAATCCATCAGAAGACACGAGGTCCAATGTTCAGTGCTGGTATGGTTATCGAATTCAAGTTGGTCGACTTGCTTAGTTACTGTAAAACCCCTCCCAAATCCATAACGTCATATCCGATGGGACTTGCAACATTCAAAAATGACATACGTATATAAGAGAAGCTCCTTGGCATACGAGAAGCCTTCTCAACTGGAATTGAATTGAATCTCATTGCGCTAATTCATAAGATCTCACAGTTTGTACGCGTAGATTTATTAGCCGTAAGTGATCTTCAAAAAGATCACAAGTGAAAGTTTCGAATTACGCGTATACGAAAGCGTCTAGTCACGGCGTGTAGGAGAGCGGTACTGGTAATGTTCGCTAATGCCGTTTCGTAAGCTTAACATGCTAAACATTACGAGGAGCTTATATACGTATTAATATGTGTTGTGTTGTGAGCAACGAGTAGCGTTTTAGGTGCTGAGTGTTGTTTGTGTAAGTGAGCCAACTTGGCTGGGCCTTTTGCTTTCATGGCTTAATCCACACCAGCCATTTGGTACCTTATCTCAGCCAAATTGTCATTTGGAAGACTTGTAGAGTAACCAAATGATCTTCATCGTATTACCAGAGAAACCCGCCATTGAGTGACCGAAGTGTCTCCGCCGGTATAGAGTTATGATGACTGCTCACAGAATGGACGATGAATAGCCAACAGGCATTTTTTGTTTCGGAGCATTAAGCAGAGAGAGAGAGCTAATTTCTGAATTCATTACTAAGATCTGGTTTGCAAACAAGCTCAAGAGACGCCTCGAAGTGTTTACAAACTCAGATTGTTAAGACAAGGCAACCTGGTGTTGAACTTGATGAGGTTGAAACCTGGCAAGCTATTGGACGAATACGACGTAATAACATCGGTCTGCCCGCTTTACGGTGATACTACAGATGAGTAACTAACATTGCCTGCTGTGTCTCATCCAAAACGTCCTTATAACCTGGAGTATGGCACCAGTTTCTCACATACGACCATACCTATCAGAGAACTCGGGATCCCGTCCGCTCTCCCATAGATAAGCTGATAAGGGGCGGATTAGTAGTTGGGTCGGTGACGACCAGCGAATCCCCGCTGTTGTATGTTTTTGGCGATAATTCTTTTTGGTGTTTTGGTCAAGCGAGGCTCCATGTGGGCCGAACCACGTTGCCGGGCCATTTACCAACCAGGGAAGGTTGATCGACTGCTCAGTCTCATTAGCAAATAGATACTTCTTTCTGTTATCTTATTTCAAATGGATAGAAAATACTATGGCATTTGCTATTGATGCCTCTTTTGATCTCAGCTAAGCGTATGTAAGTCATGTTTCATTATCAAGCTGTAAGTTGGTATCCACCTGACATGAAATAGCCAAAGCGCAACAGCGCCGTAAGCAATACAACAAACTATTGAACTCAGTATTGTATCTATTTGCTGGCATATGAGCTTTAGGACGCCAATGAGATTGCTGCTTTAGCCCACTGAAGCACATGCTCTTGTCTTCGGGGGTGCCTCATTTCTCCAAGCATGTCATAAGTCTTTTGTGAGTGACACATGAGATCATTAAGTACACATTGAGTTCGGTGAGTCTATATCTTACGTGGCTGATCTATTTAAGAAACCCAGCTCGGATGAACTTTCTCATGTGTGCTGTTGTACCTACATCTTGGAGGTCGGCATTAAAGTTTGGACTTGTGATGTGGGTGACTTTGTTAAGGAGCAAGCATCGACCAATGAACAATAGTTCTGTTCCTCAGAACTCAACTTGGCGAAAATCTACCTTTCTCACCCATGGGGCTGCATTGTTTTGCCAGTTGACACTTTGATGAGGTGAGGTCGTGTAAGCTGAAAAAAACTGGGTTGGGTGACAAGTGCGAGATACCTAAGGTTACGTGAGACGAGTATGCGAAATCAAAGTACCTAGATCGGTCAATGCAGCCCATATCGAGGCCATCCAGGCCTCCAAAACCTTGTTCTCCGATTGGCCCCTTGGTATAGACTGGCACTAAAGCGGAAAAGGGCACAGCCTTCAGTCCTGTCTGCTTAGGTTGATCTGACGGTCTGGCCGCTCGTGTCGCAACTACTTTCTTTTCCTCTTTGCCTCTTTGCCTCTTGCTCGAATATAAACCACCAACGACTTCATCTCTTGGCTTCGCTATAATTTCTGTTTAAACCTTCGTTTCAACTCGAATATTGATCGATAACATGGCTCGTGGCAACCAGCGTGACCTGGCTCGGGCCAAAAGGGAGAAAGAGAAGAGTAAAATGGTTCGTCTTATCCTCAATTGTCTTCCATGAATTTGTGCCACAAGACAAATTACTAACCTGATCTTTCTCTTCTACAGAAGTCGGGTACAAACAAGTCTGGTACTCAGATGCAGCAGGAGAATGAGACCGCGGCTGAAATTATGCGACGAAAACAGGCAGCTTGTATGTTCAACCAACCACTTGCAGCCCTATCATCGATCGACTTCCGAATACAACTGCGAACCAACACAACGTCGCTTTTGGAACCAAAAATGCTGACAACCCCTGTAGCCGATGCGCGCAAGGCTGCCGCAGGTCTTGCAGGCAAGAAATAGACACTTGTTCTGCGCGCTGTACGAACATTATCAGCCTTGGCTCAAAATTTCACCGATTTTCCGCGAACTCCACGACGAAATAGGGTATATGAATACGGGCCTGATGAAATGTGGAATGTTCGGAAGCATGCCTCAACAGCGACGAAACGAAAAGACTTTTGGGTAGCACTGGCGAAGCGGTGTAATATGATATGGCTTGTGTTTGAATGGATTATGCTAGCCTCTCTTTCAATAAATCTATGCAATGATGGTTGTTCGTGATGGCTAAAAAAAAAACAGCTCTAGTCTTCTCTTTGGTGTTTTGCTCCTTTTCAAAACCATAGACGTTGCGAATTCATGACCTCGGGCAACTCTCCTCGGAGAGCAAGAGAATATTAGCAAAAGGTATCCTAAGCTTATGCTAATTTACCTAAGTCTTTTCGTCATTTAGGATCAAGGTCTGATGTTTCTTGCTCCCCGAGGGTAGTCTCTGCTTTTGCCTCTGCTTTTGCCTCCGCTTCTGCATCAAGACGTCTCGCGACCTCGATTGACTCTAGGCACTCCTCCAGCACTTGGCGTGTCGTATTCGTGTAGAAATGATCTGGACCAAATAGCTTTGTCCGGAGCTCAAGACATTCCTCCAATATCTTCCTCGCATCACCAAGCATGTCGACGTCGGGATACAAATGCCTATCGTCTATGAAGAGCTGACCATATGCCAACCACGTGGTACCAAGGTCAGTCATGAGGCTCAGAGTTTTGGGGTTTTCCAGACCAAGAACTCTTTTGCTAGTCTCGAAGGCTTCAACCTGCAGGTCCTCAGCCTCCGAGAGGCCACAACCTTTGCTAAATAATGTTCTCGCCAGACTTGCCTTACTGTCGAGTGTTAGAGGATGCTCCTCACCAAGATGCTTTATCTTTACTTCCAAGCACCTTCTCTGCATCCTTTCCTTTTCCTCCACCTCCCCATCTAGGTTGACTGCAAGATTATCCATCGTGTGGATAGTGTCGAGGTGTTCTTCTCCGAGTGTTCGTAATCTGACCTCGAGAACCTGTCTCTCCAATGCATTTGCTTCCTCATCTTTGTCTTGCTCGGAGAGGATGACAGCAAGATTACCCATAGCATCGACAGTTTTGTAATGTTCATCGCCTTCGAGACGTTTCCAAGTCTCCACAACACCTCGCAACAAGCGTTCCGATTCTTCATATTGATCCAGATCTGCCAACGAAATCGCGTGGTCTGAGACTAAAACGAGAGTCTCCAGATGATCGTCGCCTAGTAGCTCTTTCCGAATACCAACTCCTTCGCGTTGCAGAATTTCTGCTTCACGGTACCGGCCCTGGTAGTGGAAGAATGACGCAACTCGGTGAAGTAAGGAGGCCCTCACAAGTCTGTCCTCCTCATTTTCAAGTATCTGGGCCTCCAGGACAGAGTTTGCGTGCGAAAGATACCCAGTGCATGTCGTCAACTTCTCGAACCATTCAGTATCTTCGAACTGTGCGTAGGGGTAAAAGTCCGACACAGAGAGGAAAGCGTGCCTTGTGAACTCGGCTATGCTTCCTTTTCGTACCAGCCAATTCCTCGTGACCAACTGAATCAGACGATGCATAGTATGGTCACCGGCTTTCTCTGCCCGGATGAAGCAAAACGCCTTTAGTATCCCAAGTGCCTTAACAAGTTGTAACTTGGTATTAGATCCTGCATGCAAATTTTCTCTGGCGTAAAACTCGAGGAATTCTAGAGGTATTCTTTGACGATCGAATAAGCACATCAGTGAGAGGAGCTCACTAGCAAAGATGTACTGTCGTTCTATTTGGTGGAAGGAAAGCATCCAGGTCTGGGCAACTGCGCGAGGTGTGTCCGAGTCCCTTCCGACAGTTTCAAATTCTTCGTTCAGAAGATCAATGAGATCGTCCGCGCTTCCATCTAAGAGCTCAAGATATTCGTTGACCGTGATGGAGTTCTCCTGAATAAAGGCAGCTGCTTGCACCAAGGCTAGAGGAAGAAATTCCAGACGGGATGAGAGCTGGAGCAAGTCCTTTTCAGACTCATCCTCCTGGTGTAAGCCTTGGCGGAGAAGTTGAGATGCCTCAATTTCGTCCATCTTGCCTACTTCGACGGGAAACTTGCCCTTTGTAAGTCGTGAGCCTACCTGCATGTTCCTTGTTGTGATGAGCACATTGCCATTGGGGGATTCTGGTATGAACTGAGCCAGGTTATTCTCGGCATTGGGCTTCAGTTTTGAGGATTCGTTGCAAGGGAAGAAAAGTTGCAGGTCGTCAGCGTTATCAATGACCATCAGCCACTGCCCACTCTCCTTACTCTCCAACCAGTCTCTGACGGCTGGCAAGGCATCGAAAGTAGGGTCTTCATGTCCCGTGATCTTGCACTCGTTGGCGATATGGGCATAGCCTTCTGAAAACTTTTCGACGCTGCTAGCATGAATCCAAAAGACTGATGTATCCTGAGAGATCTCCTGGACCCAATATGCATATGACAATGCGATTTGGGTCTTTCTTTTTGAAGTCAGTGGGCGACACTTCACTAATGGATGTTATTGAACATACCCAACCCCGCCAAGACCATAAAGCGCAGCCCTTCGATGACCCCTACCGCGTGACTGAGGTTCTAGATCTCCAAGTTGAGTTTTCACCAGGTCAAGTATTTCGGATCTTCCGACGAAATCTGGATTAAAAGTGTATGGAACGAGGCCTAAGAAGTCAGTTCTCAGTTGGGCACTATCATGGCTAGGGGAGAAGAAAACTCGAGACCCTGATCCTAAAGGAGAAAAATACTTATGTAACTTAGCATAAGCTTAGGATAAGTTCAGGAAACCTTTTAGTAAGTTTAATTTAACATACTATATCAAGGTCTGGTGTTTTCTTGCTCCCCTAGCACGGGTCCCAACCCAAAGGTTAAGGATTCATGGAGTCAGCTTTGGCTAGGTACTCACAATGTCCGGCAACAGTGTGCTTCTTTGGTTTGGACTGTATCTGCTGAATCCTCTTCATCCAGCGTTTTAGTTCTCCACAGATAGCCACAAATCCCGGCTCCTCAGAATTGGAGAATTTGGTCATATCTGCATGGTTCTTGTGTATGCCGATTGATATGTAGCCGGGTAGGATGGCCGAGTGTTTGGGGACGATCACCCCGAACTTCTTGGTCGGAAGCTCTTCATAGAAACATGTAATGTCTATCATGGTGGCCTCCTCTTTGCTTCGTGCCATGAGAAGAGCCTGAAAGCTATCCTGAATTCGGGCCAGGACTTCCGAGTCTTTTGTTAAAACTTGGACAATATCACTGTTGGTCTCTTTGATCAATCCGACAGAGCGTGAGACTAATTCTCCGATCTTGGCGAGGCTTGATCCATGATGTGGTGTGCCGAGAAAGATGACACCACGAGTGAAGTTGACTATATCTTGGAGGTGCTGTTCAGACCGTTGTTTCGCTGTGACAAGTGCCTGTTTTCTCAATAAGCCCTCCATCCAGGATCAGTGAAGTGACTAGGGGAGGAAAGAAAACTTGGAGTCTCGACACTAAATGATAAAGAGACTTAGGATATCTTTCCTGAGTTTAAGATACCTCTGCTAAGCTTAGGATACCATTTGTTGATATTGTTTTGACACCAATATAATGTTCGATGTTTTCTTGCTCCCCGAGAAGTGAGTGAGTGACTTACATCCTGACAAACAAGTCCTCCTAGACTGTGGCAGATAAATATAATAGGTCGTGAATCCTAGAGTCGCTATAAGAGAGTGAAATCAGGGGTAGTGATCCAATATTTACTGTGTTATCGCTCTGTCGAAGTGATGCGAGAGCAGTCACGAGATTATATGCATGATTGGAGATTCGATTCTGGGAAGGAACATCGTCCTTGCCGGTAACAGTTGAATCATAAGAGTAAGTGAGAACACGTGCAGTCTCAATCTCCAAAGGAAGAAGTGTCTTCGGCCAAGGACTCCCCGAAGTCTTATCCGTCCAAGTTTTTTGGCAGTCTCCTTTCAATCCATGGACGAAGACGATGCTGGTCTTTTGGTCAGACAACGACTAAACGGGAAAACCTTGCCGACTAACTCGATATTATCACTTTCGGTGCTATGAAATGTCTGTATTCCAGAGTAAAAGAAAGTTGTTCGGGTCTGAGCTATCGGCGCTGGTGATGGCTGAGGAACTGGCTTCTCCTTCACGGTAGGGGGTTTGTCTGGTTTGGATTTAGAACGAAAGACGCGCCGGACAGAGGAAAACATTTTAGAAAAACAAATACTTATACATAAGTTTTGAAGAAAATGAAGAACGATTTTCACAAGCATGGGCCTGGCCTTGTTTCATAAGTGTTGCGTATCACATCACATCACATGGCTCTAAGCGCCGACTTAATGAGGAGACATCCATAAGCGCCAGAACCCATGATCTGCGACTGGGGTAGGTTTCATTCAATTCTATGTTGGTTGGCGGTATCAAATGACAATTGCAGTTGATACGGGGAATATACAGGGTCTGAGCAGCGAAGGTTCAACCAACACGGTTTTTAACCTGACCTGTCACAATCGCTACAAGTGAGGTGGAATAGGATATGTCCTCCAGGTGCGCAACCGAGATGCGAGCAAATCCTGGTCAGACCCGCTTCACTTCCTGTACAAGCAGAAGTACGGATACGATGCCTTCTTAATAGAAACCGTTGATTCATAGGTGTTGGGCGTATAGGTTCGTTCGCTGTACCTGATGTCCAAGTCCACGGTATGTTACACAGCTCTGGATGGTAAAGAAGAATCTCCTACTATGGATACACTAGATCAAGTACATAGTATGTTTTGACAAGATAGAAATAGTCTTTATATCTTAGTGTGTGCTTTTGTAAAATAGGATCGCAACCGAGTGTAATCGCATGGATCCTTTGGCGAACTGTGACTACACGATTCTTCAGTGAACGGCCAGAGCTCGAACATTTCTACCTTGCAAGAGGCTCATACGAAAACGCCTTGAACAGCATCAGATGTACTAAACTACGTGAAATTTTGGAAGGTGACATGTAATCATTCGATCACGCGTGCTTATACTTCAAAACTGTATTTTCCTGTACGTATGGAGTGGCCTATACCCCCTAGATCAACTGCGTTTCTTGCCTTCTATTGGGTTCGAAACTAAGAAACGTAGTGAGATAGGATCTTGAGGGCATGCACCATTTCGGACATAGAAGATCAGCTGGAGCTCCAAGGATCGTCAAGCTTATTGGCTTGAGTGTTTGATCTGCCCTTTCACACCCAACGGCTCCGGAATCGCTGGTCCATAATTGCTGTCATCCATCCAGCTGCTTAAACCACAGCAACTTCCACAATTTGAGAGCATCTACTACACGAAAGGTCTCTGATACAATAACATGTCACAATAATGCAATCTATGTTAACAAACAAAAACTTCCTTCCAGTCCCGTCTTACACCAGCAATACTTTCTTAGCTCACCAAAGTCCCCAATTAGCAGCGGAACTTCACCATCCCGTCCTAACGAAATAGCTTCACGACCGGAATCATGGTGCCGAGTATAATCAAGTCTAAGCCCTATGTACTGTAGCCCGATGACATTTCAGTTCCTGGCACTAAAGCTGGGGGTTCATGTAGCCGTGGGGCGGAGTACATTGTGTGAGCAAGGTGGTATTTGGCGTTCAAGCCACACGGCAGATGAGCCGAGCCAAAGCTTGTGAAACAGTTTTGTTATTGCAACAATCTGAATTTCGTTTGTTTATGTTTTCCTGGCGTTTTATGCTTGATAGTTGCTTTACTGTTGAGAAGTTACTTTTCTTGAGGAAACACTAGCACACTCTTTCAGCACTGTTGAATGCTACATCTTTAAACATCACATGACTTTAATCGATTCAATACATCAATGATGCAATAAGCTCAAGGTAACATCGTCTCCGCGCTACCGCAATTCTCCGACCCTACTCCAAAGATAGCTCTGGCCGTGTTAGCCGTTCAACTAGCTAGCTCGTCCTCGCAACTGCAACATCTCGGCAAGGCCAAGATCCAGAGCTGAAGAGTACCGTAAGACCTAGCGTAGCATCAAAGACACAGCGGGATTCAGCACACAAGCGCAATCCCATCACATTCGTCCCGGTGAGATTCATGTCGTCATGATAGCTTCAAGACCCCTCCTCAGGTAACCTTGCTGTGAACTCAATTCTCGTCGCTGGGCCATCCTCCAGCCTCCTCCAAGTACCGTCTCTCTTCCATCACAGCTATATATCCCCTGAGCACTCCCCCCAACAGATTCTCGCTCTCCAGTTCATATCACGTTCACTGTCTTGTCCCATCTTGCAGTATAAAGCATTACGCTCTCTGTTTGCCTACCCATCATAGCCAACACTCCCTTTCGTTCACATCACAACCACTGAAACTATGCGTTTCTCAACACTCTTTGCCTCTGTAGGCCTTGCAGGCTCTGCCCTTGCCGGCATTGTTCCCCGATCTTACAGGGTCCCCGCTGCGAATGGCTTCCCCAACCCTGATGCTTCACAGGAGAAGCAGATCGCTATCCAGGCTGGTGGAAAGCTCCCCGGTGCTCCTCTTCCTACCACTCTCGGTGTTGGTTCTACCACAGCTTTCCAGCTGATTGCCTTCAACGAGCTCTTTGAGACTGCTTACTTTTGCTCTCTTCTCTACAATGTCACCAATGGCATTGAAGGATACAAGGTTGAGGGTGACAAATTGCATGAGGCCAAGCATGTTCTCAAGACTGTCCTTGCTGTAAGTACTTGCTCATCTTCATAATGATATCAGTCAACTGACAATTTGCAATAGCAAGAAGAGCAGCACGCCATCGGAGCCCTGGCCACTCTCAAGTCAGCTGGCAAATTTGCCCCTTCACCTTGCAAATACCAATTCCCCGTCGACAACCTCAAGGACGCCATCCTTCTCGCTGAGACCTTCACCGCAGTTGTTCTCGGTGCTCTCCAAGACGCCAACGTTGTCTTCGCTAGCGAGGGTCTTCCAGAGGTTGTCCGCCTGATCTCGTCCGTCATCGGCCAAGAGGGTGAGCAAAATGGGTTCTACCGTATCTACCTCGGCCAAGTTCCTTCTGAGTCACCATTCCTGACCACTGTCCCTGCTGCTTTTGCCTGGTCTGCTCTCCAGGGTTTTATTGTTCCTGGATCTTGCACTGAGGACATCAAGAAGATCGACCTTCCCATCTTCCCTGCTCTCCAGGTCAACGGTGGTGCCATTGCTGTTCTTGAGGCTGAGGACCAGAGCCTAACTTTCAGCGCCACTCTTGAAGAGTCTCACAAGGGCGAGGATATCTACATCACCTACACCACTGGCCAGCAGCTTCCCTACAGTGTCAAGGCTGAGAACGTCAAGTGGAACGGCAAGAGTGTCAAGCTTGAGGCTGAGTTCCCTTACCACAAGCTGGTCGCTCAGGGCTTCACCCACGCTGCTCTGACTACTTCCAACAACATTGCCACTCCTGATGACGTTCCCAAATTCACTCTTGCTGCTCCCGGTCTTATTCAAGTCAAGAACCCTCTTGACGGAGGCAAGGGAGGCTACTCTGACTAAAAAAAGGCGGGATGATCGCAATGCCACTTGGCAGTTCTGGTACCTAATAGATCGATGGAATTGGTGCTTTGGTATTACAATGTTTACAGAGTTCATGCATTTCTCTCGGGCCTAATGATAATTCAAAATCCAATAAATAGTTGGTTATGCTAAACTGCAAAAGTTCCAATTTGATTTGTTGTGAGATATCCCGTCCCTCCATCTCGGATAATCGGGATGTGAGGATGACGCTTCCAATTTCCGTATGTGCCAATGATATTGAATTGAGACAACCGTGCTGGACGCCATCTTCAGCCCTAGAGATCGGGTTTCTCGTAAGTTCAGCCTCATTTGAGTTATTTCATTCACGGGGAATCGCGTTTCGGAAGCTCTCAGCTGCGGCAGACAGCTTTACCTCTAGCACTCAACAGTTCAGCAGCTCCAATCGAACGACAGCTTCTTTTCACGTGTAATCGTATAAGCACCATGGTGGTCTCCATCATCACCCCATCATACGCGGGATGAGACGTCTCTCCACATGTTTCACTGAGCAAATGCTCCTCTTCCAAGCCACTGATAGCAAGACATCAAGGTCACCCTCAGTTCACGAAACTTCAAGACCGTCGATAGCTAAAAGGTAACCTTGAATCATAAGATCGCTTTGCATTAGACCGAGCCGGACTCGTACTCAATTCTACTAACCAAACTCTCTGAGCACCTCAGACTGCTTGTCTCTCGACTCCCATTTCTTCATCTGACTCATCGGGGAGGTTGTCGTTCATACGAATGAGCAGGTCCTTCAGTTTTCGCCGGTTCTTTCTCCACGTCAACAAATCTTCTTCCTGCTGATCTCGTATCGAGGGCGTGACTTGGTTCCCGTGTTCATCCTTGAGATAGTCTGGTACGCCCTCTGCCGTGTTCGGTAAACTCCGCCGACCAAGATTATTATTAAAACCATCACCGCAGTGCCACGATAGGGGCACTAGATGCGCCTCCTCGATGTGTTCTTTGAGCCCCTCGTCCGTATCAAACTCAGATGGTTTCTCCAGCCTCCCACAATCTCCCCATAAGCAGCTGATATCATCACCATGAACGATGTAAACGTGCCGCCGGAGAGTTTCGAGGTTATGTAGTTCAGCCTTGCAGTCCCTCCACTCACATAGAAACGGGAAGATCGGTGCATCCACTTGATAGTAGATGGTCTCTGGAGGAGGAGAAGGTTGCTTTGGCGGCCGGCCTCTTCGTTTTGGAAACCCATTGGGATGAGAACGCGGCTTAGTAGCAGCTTGTCGGGCCTGCCGAGGAGCTCCAGCTGCTGTTTGCAGACCCTTTGACTTATTCGTTGATCCTTTAGGTCTTCCTCTTCCTCGCGCTGGTGTTGTAGACGTCGCATCGCTGGAAACTCCCGCCTGTGTACCACCCGGACTCGACGTTTTCAGAGCGTTGACTGCTTTGAACAACGACTTTGGTCTTCCCCGTGGGGTAAGATCCGACGTGACCGGCTCATCAAAGCCATCCTCCTCACCGATGCTGACTTCTTGGTAAGCTTCGAAATGTGCTGGTGAGCTCGGGAGAACGATAGCGAGACTTGATCTACCACTTGGTGTCAAGGAGCCTGGATGTTGTTTAACCGGGCTTTGGCTATGACTTCTTGTTGGTGCATCTCTGACTAGAGGATCCTCTGACTCTAGACTATCAGAGACGGAATCAAAGCGATTGATATGTGGTGGTAAGTTGATGTGCTGGGTCTTTTTGCTTTGGTTTCCAGGGTTTATACTGCTGAAGCTCATACTGTACAGCTTAACACGCTTCGACGCGGCGTGGCGCGATAAGTTTAGCGTGCAGAATGCGGGTTGTGCAATTTATTTGAGAGGGAAAAGAGTTTATGAGATATGGCAATGAACGGAAGCTCTTAACGTGTAAAACATGCCACTATTGGAATTGGATAAAAGTGCTATTGCTGTTAAGAGGTGCTGAAGCTGAAGGCAGGAGGCTAAGATCTGCCAAGAGATTCCTGGCGGGAGGCCGATTTCATTTACTCACGTGCTCTAGCACTCATCAGAGATGTCATCTATTATCAACAACGAGAAAAATACTGAAGAGTTGGCAATGTTTTTAACCAAATATATATTTTTAGCAATACTGCTGCTCATTTCAACTTGGTAAATTGTGTCAGCGCTGAGGTCTGGGCCGTATCGTTGTTTGTCTACGCGTTTGCTTTTGCACTTATCACGGAATAGATATTGTTTATTATCAGGGATTCAATTCATTTCAGTAACTGGTATTCGTATTTATACAAAACAGTCGTAATCAGCAAAACTCCAATCGTGCCATCATCAATCTCATCCGTTTACCAATAGCCTTTCCAACCATCATCGCCTCTTAAACATAAAGGAAATTTTGATGCATTAAACCTCAGTCTCGACATCAGGCTTTCGGCCATCCAGGGCTCCAAGCTTAGCCACCTTTCGAACTGCAAACTTGGCTTCGTCCTTGGCAAACTGCACGTTGCGCATGGGTCGCCATTGCATAAGACCTCGATGTTTGCGATGCATATCGCGGCTGTCGGATCGGTATGATTTGATCTTCTTGATGGGGTTCTTGCTGTTGGAGCTAGCCTGGGAACTGTTCGTAGCGCTCGTTGCGTTGGTGCCGGTTGTATCAACTGAAGGACGCCCGTTCTCAGAGGGATCTGTGGGCTCAGTGTCGGCATCTTGAATACCAAGATCAGGATCGGAGTCATCCTCATCAAAGTCGTCGTATTCCTCGCTGGACTCGCTGTTGCTCTTCTTGCGCATCAACACAGAAGGATCTTCGCCAAAGGCACCGCTCCAATCGGTGCCGTCCTTGGCAAGCCACTTCTGCTTCTGCTTCTCGTCGGCTTGCGCGAGAACGTCACGGCCATGAGTCAGAGACTCTTCGTGAAGTTTCTGGATCACAGGAGGAACCTCGGTCTCAACATCCTGCTTACGCACACCCTCTGCGTAGCAAGCTTCCCAAGCCTCGATTGTTTCACGGTCGTCGTTTGTGCTGGCAAACTTGATATGATCGGAATCCGTGCCAGCAGAAAATCGAGCTCGGAACCCAACTCGACCAACCTGCTCCATCTCGATATCGGGAACAGACTTGTAATTTTCTTCGGTAATGTAGTTCTGAGAAAGTCGCACGCTGTGGTTGCATTTCCAAACAGGGATGTCAAAGTCAGTCTCTTCACCATCAACAAGCTCCAGGAGCCAGAGAACGGCATAGGCATCGGGATTTCGCTTTCCACTTGGGTAGAATTCCATGAAGATGGGCGAGCTGTAGCGATGTCGAACCGGTAGGCGAACACGTTGGTTTCCATCGGCACCACTGATGTTGAATGACATGCCGTCAGCCTCACGAGAGGATGAGCTTTTTCCAATACTGGCGGATGAGCCTCCAGTACGGAAGCGAATCTTGGCGTGGTTCGAAGGAGCATAGCCAGTGGTGGTGATGGAGTCAGACACGAACTCGAAGGTACCAATATCCCAACCCAATTGAGGAGGGGGAAGTCGAAGCTCAACGGAACGGAACAGCAAAGAGATACGAATGCGGCCAAAGCCGATGCCTCCGTCGAGAGGGTACCATCTGGTAGACTCGCTGCTGGTTTGAAGGATATCTGTGACCTTGAGAGGGACAACACCAATAAGAGGGTCATGTTGGCGGTTGCGGGAGTCACGGACTGCAACGGTAACAATAGCAGAACGCCAATCTCGAATGAACTTTTCGGTTCCAGCGTTGAAGATGGGTTGAGAGGAAACAACCTTTGTTCGGGTCTTGTAAACAAGATCGTCGTTAAGAAGGATGGTGCAGTAAGAGCTGGGAAGAGACTTGGCCTGCTCTTCCTTGACTTCACCGGCTTCAGGACGAGCTGGCTCATACTCTCTACCCTTTCGCTTTCCATTGGAGCCCTTGATGTTTTCCAATTCTAAGCCAACAATCTGGTGGACGACGATGCTGAGAATACCAGAAGGCCACAATGGGTCAGGAGGGGTGTGAATGACGGCATCTTCCTCCTTAGTGTCAATCGAGCCCTTGTTCTCTTGGAGCTCAGGCTTGTCCGCCAGCGCCTTGGGGAGATTGAGGTCCCGACCATCAGTTCGAAGGGCCTTTCGGAATTGTGTCTTGCCAAAGAAGCCGACTTCCCAGTGGAGCTCTCCTGGCATCTCGCTGTCTGCCTTGACTCCTCGAAGCTTGGAAACCTGAGGGAACATCTTGCCGGGGTGCTGAATAAGTTTCTGAATGCTGAGCTCGACCTTGCCAACGACATCATCAGCAGAAGATCGATCACTGTCCCAAAGCTCAACCGAAAGCTGCTCGTCAGCCTTGAGAAGATCAGCAGTAACCAAAAGACCAGCGCTCTCCTCAAAAACGGGGTTAAGATCGTCCTGGATAACACGAGTACAGAATTGGGGCTTGGAGAACTTGCTCCAGCTGATGGTGATGTAAGGATCGGAGCCACCACCCTTGCTTCCACGCTGGTCTTGCTTGCTGAGGCCGGTAGCCTTATGGATGCGAACAAACATGACACCAAGAGCCAATGTCTCCTTCTTGATGTCATCACCCTGGAGCATCTTGCTAAGATCAAGAGACAGACTCTTGGGAGCCACGTACATCGAAGCGGCAGCACCAATGGCCCAGTTGACAAAGTTGGAGATGAGAGGCAGGTTGAGAATATTGACACCCTTCTCGATCATTGGTGTACATCCAGCCTGAACCTTAGGGATACCCATAAGTGTGAAAGTGAGAGTTTTAAGGAAAGGAGGGTCGGGAGTCAGTTGAAGTCGGATTCGAGCGGTCGCAACAAGGCCTTGAAGTTCGACCCAGATGGGCAAAGGAACACCAAAGAGCCCCTTAATACCTAGGTAGAAAACAAGCTGCATACCCATGTTGCGCGCTTTGGATGCGATATCCGCACCAGAGGGCTTCGCATGATAGGCGATTGCAACTTCGAGGTTGTAGAACGAGCCAGCTTGCTCATTGGCCGCGAGCTCTTCAGG